TTTAAGTAGAAGACTTACCACTTTGGAAATAAATTTTTAAAATTTCCCAACTTTGTTCAATCAAAAAGTGACCCATTTCATAAATGTCAAACAAACCTAACCTAATCTAACTTTCTATCACATCGGAAATGTCATAAAACCTTCTCACCCACTGACCTAGGTCAGTGTTCCAACCTCAAATAACCTATAGTTCCAATTACAAACGTTAGATGTACCTTTATTACCTTAAGTACATTGAAAACCTTATTCCTTATTTTTCCAAATTTATATGGGATCATCCCTGACACATAATTAAACTAAATCATAATCATTGAAATCGGTTTACATCTAATAAAGTTGACGCGTAACAAACAGTAAAAAAAATGGAAAACTATGAATTGATAACCTCCTCGTCTTTTTGAAGTCGGCTAAAATAGGCCAGAATCGCTCTAGTAATGCGCGTGAAAACATTGTTTTACTCTTGCGCGTAGTGGATTTTGGTATTTTCAGTTACAATTTTTCATTACCTTATTGCTTGACATAAACTTAAATAAGCTATCTCATCCCGTGGGTGTCAGAGTATGGGGCGACAGTGGTAAATGAAATAGACATCATCTTAAAAAGCTCAAAATCATTTGAAACTGCGGTTGCCAACCCGTATATTTATTCCATCATCTGTGGTACCCATCGGAGGCAGATCTCAGCCTTGGTTTGGTCGCTCCTGTATGCAGTCTGCATTGCGCAGTAAGCAGGAGTGTTATCAAGCCTAGGCTGCGGCTTCGGTGACTCGGGATGTAAACACCAGCACATTAAAAAAGAAGTATAACTTCGCCTCCAGGTCTTTCAAAAGAGTTATTGCCAAGGCAAAGTCACATAGGCAGAATTGGCGAGAAACTAGTTCGCCTTCCTTCGGGAACCCGTGCATTCTGGTCTCTCGCCAAGGCTGTCCAAGGGAATTTCTGTAAGCCATCACTACCATCTCTGCACAGGGAGGACGACTCACTGGCCCAAGACGCAAAAGACAAAGCCGACCTTTTAGGCTCCCTTTTTGCGTCCAACTCGACTCTTGATGACGGGGGGAAAATACCGCCGACCATCCCGCGGTGTGAGTGCTCCATGCCGGATGTGCTATTCTCACAGCGCTCAGTTCGCAAAGCACTTCTCTCCCTGGACATCCAAAAGTCGAGTGGGCCTGACGGAATCCCCCCAATTGTGCTGAGGACGTGTGCTCCGGAGTTGGCACCGGTCCTAACGCGTCTTTTCCGGTACTCCTACTCCCAAGGCGTAGTCCCGAATTCATGGAAGACAGCTTTTGTCCACCCAATCCCTAAAAAAGGCGACCGCTCAGACCCGTCCAACTATAGGCCTATCGCGATCACCTCCTTGTTCTCCAAAATAATGGAATCCATTATTAACTGCCAGCTCATCCGGTACCTTGAGGATCACCAGCTGATTAGTGACCGCCAATACGGTTTTCGTCGGGGTCGATCAGCTGGTGATCTTCTGGTCTACCTGACCCATAGATGAGCGGAGGCAGTAGAGTCCAAGGGGGAGGCGTTGGCCGTTAGTCTGGACATTGCGAAGGCCTTCGATCGGGTTTGGCACAAAGCGCTTCTTTCGAAGCTCCCTTCCTATGGGCTTCCCGCGAAATTGTGCAATTGGATCACCAGCTTCCTTGCAGATCGGAGCATCAAGGTCGTTGTAGACGGTGCATGTTCTGACTACAAGCCTATTAACGCTGGTGTTCCACAAGGCTGTGTGCTATCACCAACGCTGTTTCTTCTGCATATCAATGATATGTTGCTAACTGGTAACATTCATTGCTATGCGGATGACAGCACTGGTGATGCTCTATACACCGGCCGGACCAATATTTCTCGGGAAAACGTCGCCGAGTACCGGAACAAACTTGTGTCTGAAGTTGAGTCTTTGCTGAACAAAGTCTCGGATTGGGGGCGACTAAATCTAGTCCAGTTTAATCCTCAGAAGACACAAGTTTGCGCGTTTACCGCTAAAAAGAACCCCTTTGTCGTATCTCCTCAGTTTCAAGGCACTCCCCTTCTTGCCTTAGCCAGTATCGGTATCCTCGGAGTCGACATATCGAGTGACGTGCAGTTTCGTGGTCACTTGGAGGAGAAGGCCAAATTGGCCTCTAAAAAGCTTGGCGTGGTCAGCAGAGCGGGACAGTATTTCATGCCGGCACACCGCCTGCAACTTTACAAGGCGCAGGTTCGGCCTCACATAGAATACTGTTCCCATCTCTGGGCAGGGGCTCCCCAGTGCCAGCTCCTTCCACTTGACCGCATCTAGCGCAGAGCGGCTCGAATCGTCGACGACCGAGCCCTTTCCGATCGACTCGATTCATTGGCACTGCGAAGAGATGTTGCATCTCTTTGCATTTTCTTTCGCATCTACCATGGGGAGTGCTCTGAGGAATTGTTTGGATTAATCCCAGCCGCCAAATTTCATGAACGCACATCGCGGCAGAACTCCCGATACCATCCACACCATCTGGATGATTGGCGGTCCACCACTGTGCGATTTAGAAGATGTTTTCTTCTTCGCACGACTTCCTTGTGGAATCGATTACCATCAGCGATTTTCCCGGACCGATACGACTTAGGGACCTTCAAGAAAAGAGCCTACTCCTTTTTAAAAGGCCGGCAACGCATTTGCAATTCCCCTGGTGTTGCGGTTGTTCATGGGCGGCGGTAGTCACTTACCATCAGGTGAGCCGCATGCTCGTTTGCCCCCTCTCCTATAAAAAAAAAGCGTGACAACTATGGCAAATATCCCTCCTATGAGGCAATATATTATCTATATCCAGTAGTGTTCAGCAGTGGACTTTTAATATGCTGTAATGATAATAATGATTATCTATTATAATTATTTAGTAACGCTCTTTAGCGTAGCTTGTTTTAGTTTTTTTTTTAAAAATTCTACGTCTTTCACAGCCGCTTTACTTTGTAACCCTTCTTCAAACCTGGATGTGCCAAGAAATTATTTACGACATTTATTTGTAAAAGATTCCTGCTGAATCCCGCCCTTACACGAATATCAGGCCCTGGTATGGTTTAAGCTATACAGTAAATGACAATAACAGATTGACTTTTTTGTTACTCAAAATATTCGTGCACTCATTTTGAAGATTAAATCTTTTCCCTAGCGCTTTTAGTAAATGTTCATACCAAACGCAAAGTGATAATCTACTTTCACCGCTGCTGACACGGTTACGGGGTTATTAGATAATTTTCTTTTTGACAATACTGCACAATTAACGTAACGAATTTTAGCATCATGGGAGCTCATCTCCGTAAGCAGAAAAAGGTACCGATAATGTGTAAATTCAACATTAAAATAATCGTCATCTTGGATTTTTAAATTCGCATCTATTCCAAAGTAAACCCTTCCGAGTTATTAAATGTAATTAATTTTTACGGATTTTATCGTGTTTAACCGGAAATATCGAGAATTAAAAAGTTAAACGCGATAAAATCCGTAATAATTAGTTTCATTTAATGTGTAGTCTTCGCGTAAATATAAGAAATCCCTACCGACTTAATCAGAAAAGATAGCTATAATTTATTTATCCTTTATTACAAACACCTTCAACTAAGGGTTTAAAAAGGACGTATTATATATTTATAATATTTAATTCATTAAAATAAATATAATTTTCTTATATATGATATACCTGCAATTATTGAGTAGACATAATATATTTTAAACGTCGGTAATACCACTCCGTCCACTTGGATCTACAATCATGATCCACAGGTCTACAACAGATCTAAAAATGCTTATATTTTATTTTATTAAAAATATATTAGTTATCTAGCTGTATATCTAATCCAATTTATAACGTGTCTTTCAACTTCTTCGTGGAATAATGGCCACTAATATAGGTTTAGTTATAATGTAGGTTATTCTTATTTCCATTCATTTTTTTTAAATACAAATTTAGCAGAGAAACAACTTTAGTTGAACGAATCTATAACTAAAAAACTCGAAATTTTTTAATCATACATGTCATATTAAATATATATATATATATATATATATATATATAAGCATCTAGCATTTAAAGGTGGCCGTGAGGAATGAGAAGTGTTTGACTGTTTAAATTAAGCGAGTTTTATAAGGAATCAAAGTATTACATTTAATATTTGCTTATGATTATTTATTTTATATTATGTTTTTCATGTGAATCTTTTGTCTTTTTTTATTTTCGATTACGAACTAAGAATATCTGTTGCGATACATAACACATCGTGTTAATGGAATACATTCTATAAGAATAAGATTTTATATATATTATAATGTATTTTTAAGTTACTTGGGGGACGTGCCAAAAGCGTTTAACTGGCGCAGCCACCTTTGGATGAATTTTTCTCCAAAATATAATTATAGAATATGGGTGACAAACGAGCACACAGTCCACCTGATGTTAAGTGGATGCTGTGGCCCATAGACCCAGTTATCCTCGGTTAAGTATAAAAAAGCAAATATGTTGTCACCCCTGAGGATTAAGATGGAATGCCTCTTTTCCGGTAAAAAGGGTCTCCGGTTCTCTACACTCACCATACGAAACAGCAGCATTAAGCTGCTATTTTACGCTAGTATTCTGCTAGAGAGTGGGCTTACCCCGGTAGAGCCAACCTTAAATGGCAATTCAGGATAACCGAGCCAGACAATTGAACGTTTTCCTTGAACTTTTTTGTTTTGATCTTTTTTGTTTAGAACTTTTTTGTTTTGAAGTCTGCTGTGTAAAAGTGCAACTTCATGCAATTGTTAACCGCTAATAAAAAATGAGTAGGATAAAAATGTAAAATGAAAAAAATACTACTTTTCATAGAGTATATTCATAGCAAAAGAAAAATTATGATTTTGATATATAAAACATACAAAATCATGTTGAAAATATATTGCAGGATAATTTGATAATTTCAAATCTTCTAGGCTTCTTGAACCAAACGGTCCATTTTACGAAATGCTCTGCTAACAATATTAATTCTTCTAATTTACATTTCCATTTTCGGTACTTCGTCTGTTATACGCGCCAGGACCAAATTTCTCTCGAGGCCTTGAAGTCGCTTTGGCTCTAAGGCAGCCCTCATTTCTAGAGCTCTAGTGTCTGTTTCCAGAGAATGCTCCTTGTCATTTAAATCTAAAGCAATCTTTATAGAGGCTGCTTCTAACGCATTGTACGTTGCTCTGAAACACATAAACAATTTTATTATTAGAGTCTGCTTCAGTTACTTATCATAATAAGTTAGTTCTCAAGCAGTGAAAATAACTGCAGTCTACGTGACCTTTGTTAGCTGCACCGCTCCCGTTTTATACGTAGTTTATGAGCAACCTAAGTTCGATCCACAATGGATGGAAATTGAGGGTGAAGGAAACATCGGGTAATTTTTTTTATTTATAATGTGATATTTTTTTTAATAAAAATAATACTAGAAAGTGGTAGAATCTAAATTCGCCAGTAAGTGCGAAGACTAAGTTTTAAGTATTTTTATTATTTTCTTAATACTAATATCTCGTCCTAATATCTCGATTAAAATTGTATACAAAACAAAATACCTATTTTATATTTAAGTGAGGTAAATATGTAGTGTCGATTATCAGTATTATTAAAGTCTGATGAAGGCTTTGTAGAGAATGTGCCATCAAGCGTGCATTCCTTAAAATATTTTTTTATACTCTCTCGGTTGAACGGATTGGTAAGTGCGGAACCGAGATCTTAGCGCTGCGCTCCATTGTCAGTTTTTCATTTTTGGACGCATTTGTGCCGTCATTTGGTTGTCAGAGCTTCGACCGTAATTTAGATGGATGCACTACGTGAAGGTGAAGATGACATTAGTATTATTTTTGTCGTTCTATATATGTTGTGTAGTTTTTAGAAAGCATTAATTTTAGTCTTATAAAACAATGCAATACAAATGTTCCATTACAAAAACCAGTAAAATTTCTTAACAAATTACGGTCTTTTGAATTGCATAAAATGTAAAGGAGGATCTTTTGTGATTTTAAAGAGTAGAGGCAAGATTTAACAAAGGCATTAAGGTGCTTTACATTCATTCGTTTAAATAAATCTTGAGCAAAAAGCGATGCTTTGTAATGATTTTCTTGAATTATTATTCTGTTTGAAATAATTGTGTAAATAAAATATTTTTGCGCGCGTTTCGTGAATTTAATGAAATTTATCCAGAAACTAGAATACTCATAATGTAAAGAAATTAACTTTGATGTGTTTAATTTTCCAAAGTGTCTTTTAATGAGCCGTTACTAGAGGAGCAATATAATCTTGTTATAAAATAATTATTAGTAGGTCTGTTTATGATCGTGTGATTATTGAACTTTTCATTACAAATTTTATCACGTTGAGAAATACTCCAAGCATACTTTATAGCTCGCTGAACGATCTTAAGCTTCCGCATATCGCCTACAGTGAAGAATCACGTTTTAGATCCACATGACAATACGTTTTCTTCGTACGCAATATTTTGGCCACGTACCATTACTCCATATCATTCCGTGAGTGTCGTAAGAAGTGTCAAAGGGAAACAAATCAGGAGATGGTTCGCAGCATTTACTAAAAATAATAAAATAACTGCAGTTGCCATCCCGACTGCCAAGCGAGATGGCCATCAGTCATATTATGTATATTTATATAGGACGACAAAGCAAAATGATAAAGAGTCATCAAAGAACATCCTAAGTGGAAGTTTATTGACCAGATCGGCGACATATTGAAGATAGACCAAGCTTAGAGTACGCCTAGCTTATAGACGTAGATTATGAATAAAGACCTGAAAGAAGCGCGAGAGGTGTATTATAAATGTGCCAAATAGAAGTCGGTAGTCGCTGCCTACTTCTCTGGGTGATAGGTGTGACATTTCTGTTATGATATGGGTGATTTTACGTGGTAGAGCCATGCTGCAACTTATATTATGCTTGCAGCACGAATGGGTCGGCTCGTCCGGGGTAGGACTACGCTTTCACAGAATACCAGCATAAAAATATCAGCTTAATGCTGCTGTATTTCGTATGATGAGTGTAGAGAACCAGAGATACTTTTTACTGGAAAGGAGGCATTCCAGTTCAGTCCTCAGGTGTGACAACGTATTTGCATTCTGATTCGTAATTGAGGATAAATGTTGATGGCTATGGACCACAGCATCCACTTACCATCAGGTGGACTGTGTACTCGTTTGTTACCTTTATCCTATATAAAAATAAGTTTATCGCTATCCCCCCCCCTTTTTTATGATAAATGTGATTAAAATTGAGGATTGAAATCGTCATATTATAAGCTTACTTAGCACAGTCCAGTTTTTCTTGTAGTTGACGAATCGACTCTTTAAGGTTGTGAACTTCTTCTTTCAAACCAAGATCCGCTTCGTCCGAAGCCAGTTCAATACCTGGTCTGTATCCGCGTGTTTCCAAACGCGTTTCTGCTACTTTTAAAGCGTTCACTTTATCAGCAAACTGCTCACCCATTATCTTCAATTCGGCGGTAAGTTTATCCATATTCTCTTCCATCTATATTAAGAAAAATATCATTCCTTTAATAACATTACAGTAAATATTTATCTCGCTTTGTAGTTGTGGAAAAACCCTCGGTATCGTAAGAGACGACACAGGAAAATGAAATAGTATTGTCTTACAGACCGAATTTTGGGTAAGCGACCAGTCTCAACGGAGAATAACCATTTGCATCGGACAGGATTATAGTGAACTAGTGCGTGCGCAAGCACAGGTCAGATTATTTCTTGATCCTCATAGTCGTATAGGATGTCAACTCGATACGAATAGAGATAAAGTGCGGGATCTATGGCTTTACGTGTTTTCCTAGACATGGAATAGAAACACAGAAAACGTCATGGAGAATGGAAACGCCGCCAACTACCTAATTCGGGGCTGCTATTGAGAATTCTTGGATAGAAAAACGCTATAGCTGATTTTGGCACAACCTAGGAATCAAATCTGGGACCACATGATCAGTAGTCGTTTTTACGACTATTAGAATAATAAAACAAGCGTGCGTCACGGTCAAGGGATGGAAATGAAATTGGAGATACGCAGCAAAATCTTTCTGTTAAAAATTCAACAAAAATATATAACTGCGGCTGGCAACCCGTTTGCCAAGCATAGCAACTTAGTCGAATATCCCTATATCAGTAATGGATTAAATGAAACTATTTTCCCGGTTTCTTTGCGTTCACCCATGGTCACGTTGGGTGCTGAGGTGTTTGACGTCTTGATGTCATAGTTAGCCCGGCTACCTTCAGTTTTTGAATATTAATTTTTGGTTAGATCTACGGGGTGTGAGTATATCCACTATATATATATATATATATATATATTCCCATATCATCACGTAGATGTCGTAAGAGGCGATAGAGGGAAACAAATCAGAAGATATATAGCGTCTTCCTAAAAACTTTTGTCGTTAAAAAAACTGACGTTGCCAACCCGCTTACCAAGCGTGGCAACTATGGCAAATAGCCCCCTATGCGGCAATCTATAGGGGAGGCCTATGTTCAGCAGTGGATTTTAATAGGCTGTAACTACTACGCAGAACGAGCTTAGAGGCGAGTTACGAACAACTGACTTCGTTCATTTGAATACTGATGTGCAAATAAACAGGGCTATAGGAATACTGGGAGCTATAAACTGCGCAGGTGAATACAAAGAACTTACTCTGTCTTACCTTACTCAATAGAACTTGCGATGTATTCAGTAGTAGGCTTAGATAGTCAAAAATCAATAATTTCTGCATAAATGTTGACTCCTCGATTCAAACGCTGGACCCCTGTATTAGCCAGGTACTCTACCTCTTCTTAACGCCGTTGTTACCCCGATTACGGATATTATATGGCACATAGCGTCACGTCTATTGCTGAAGGTGTAGGCAAAGTCCAAAGAAGAGCGAACTATCTGATCCATGTTTAGCCAAACATATATGAATTAAAAATGAAATCTGTAACTCTTCCTTGCTTACTAATATGCTTGCTTATTATCTATAAATATAGGCTTCCCCGTAGATTGTCTCTAAGGGGCCCTCATAGTAGTTACGCTTGGCAGCCGGGTTGGCAATCGTAGTTTTTATCTTTTTAGTTGTTATTAGGAAGACGCTGCTGCCCATCGCCTAGTTTGTTCCCTCTGTCGCCTTTTACGACAATGAAGAGACGATATGGGGTAATGGATATTTCTACACCGCCAATCCCACGGTCAATATACTTTATATAGTAAAACCATATATTTAGATAAAAGTTTAAGGTAAACCTTCATTTTCTGCCACTGCAATTCGTTCCTAGCCCGCTGGGTGTCGTATATACGTTTACGCATCATGTAGTTGGTGACGTCAGTTTGGGCACGCAATGTGTTTCTCGCACGTTCCCGGGCCACAAATAGCGATTCACGAAGACGCAGAGTGTCCTGCAGCTCGTCTTCAGCCATTTTCTTTGTCGCTTCGCACTTCTCTAGCCATTGTTCATACGTTATCATTCTGTTGATATAAATATTAGCATTATTATTTACATATATTATATTGTAACAGTGTAATGGGAGTGTAAGAATATTGACTACCCCATATCGTCCCGTAAGTGCCATAAGAGGCAACAGAGGGAAACTGACCCAGGAGATCTTTGGCAACATCTTCCTGATAACAACTCAATAAAAAACTGCGTTTGCCAACTTGTCTGCCAGTATGACAACTGTGACAAAATGCCCCTTGTGAAGCAGTTTTTGGATGTATGAATGAATGGATAGATTTTGTGTTAAAATAAAAAAAAAATTAAGAATTTTATTGCGTATAAAATTGTATTTGGGTAAATTATCTGTGGTCTCGGTGAAAATAATACATAAGCAAATTTTGTTCCTCGGTGATCGTAAAAAGCGACCATGGAAACTTCTATAAAGTCTAATAAATTCCAATAGATAGCCATATAACCATATCGTAACGTAAAGTATCCAAACCGACAAAAGGGAGCAGCGTCAAAAGCGCCATTCTGCCTGCGAAGCGAAACGTTAAGACAAATCCTCCCCACAGCAGGAAACAGCTGTCCAGCAGTGAACTAGTGAAGAATAATGTCTAATATTCACGTAAATATAGGAATTAAATTATTAAATATTTTATAGAAAATACACATCATTATCATTACAGCCCTTCAGGTCCACTGCTGAACATAGGCCTCCCCCAAGGAATGCCACGAAGCATGGTCCTGATCCACCTGCATCCATCGACGTCCTGCATGTCTTACCAGGTCGTCACTCCATCTAGTGGGGGGACGCCCAACACTTCGCCTGCCGGTACGAGGCAGCCCCTCGAGAACCTTTCTTCCCCATCGGTTGTCGGTTCTTCGAGCTATATAGCCGGCCCATTGCCACTTCAGCATACTAATTCTTAAAAAAATACACCTAAAATTGGTTAATAAAGACAAATAGGAATAAAAGTGAGCGATAAACTTGAAGCTTCGTAATTGGCGGGTTGGCTTTGCTATTTATGGCCTTCTAAGTAGGGACTTACATAAAATGAGATGTAGTAACGTTGTAAAAATCTAAGGCCTTACTCATAAAATCGCCATCAATTTAAGAAATGTTTAAAGTTCTCTCTCTTTACACTTAATGCCAATAAAAAGAAACAGGTATAGATATAATTTATACTTAGAATTAAAACTTAGCTTTCAAGGTCGTCATTGGTTTATTTACTGATTTAAGCTTTATAAAAAAATATTTACTGTGAAGCAAAATTTTAACTTTGTATGACGGCTCCGTGATTGCGGCGCAGCGAATTCGAATCACGCACGCAACTAGCGTTTGTATATAATTGTCCCGAGTCTGGATATTCGTCCATACACAATTTATATATGGAAAACACATCAACAATACAGGAGAAAATAACGCGTTTTTAAAAAAAATAAAATAAAAGTGAACTAGTGAACTATTGTACTCAGTTCCGAGACTTGATTCTGCGTTTTAGAGCAAGGTAGATTTCATCGCGCTGCCTCAATGCATTTCTGCGAACTACTCATAAAAGAAATATTATACATTCTAATTCAATATAAATTCTAATCCGAATTTAATAAAAATAATATATATTTAATTTTATTATATATATGTAATAAAAATAAAATATATATTATTTTTATTAAATTTATATATAATATATATATATATATATATTAATATATATATATATATATATGTATATATATTAATATACTCGTATATATATATATATAAATCCTAAAATATATTTTTATTTTTCTGATATGCAGATTTGCTTACTATTTAGCTTGTTGCATTCCCAAGAAAATGATAAATTACAGCCTGTCAATATTCCCCTGCTGAATATTGGCTTCAACCAAAGTTTGCCTCATTTGCCATAGTTTCTAAGTTTAACAGGCGAGTTTATTATTTTAGTCGTTACTAGGAAGACGCTGCTGACCATCTCCTGATTTGTTTCCCTCTGTCACCTCTTACGATAACCACGGGTCGATATTTAGATAGTGGATTTTCTTACGCTGTTATTACACGGCGATGTATTTGTTTCCGTGTTATGAAATTTTAAAGCAACCAATCATCGCTTGGGCTACAACGGCCCGTCATGTTATTTATAAGAAACAATATTTTCTCTATGTTTTAACGAAATAAAAGAATGATATGATAAAGTTTGAATTTAATTAATACGGTATTATAACAAATATAAATTTAATACAGAATTAAAATTCATACTAAACCTTTTGGGGGTTTTTAAAGGGTCTGTTTTATAGGTGATATTGGCGCAGTCTTTGTCTAGATTGAGCATATCCTTGTCGATTTGTAAAGCTTCATTCTTATCGTTTAGATCAAGCTGTAGTTTAAATTTTACCACTTCAAGTCTATTGATCTTTTCCCACGCGGATTGGCAGCGGTCAATCAACAACTTTTTGTTGCTTTCAGTAACACACAGTTCCTAAAAAGTTAAAAATATGATTTTAATATTTATTAGCTATATGAATCCACTTCTATTATACAAAAGAAAGATCATGTATAACGTCCATGTCACACCTAGCCGGTAGAGCACTAAGCTCGAAGTTGTTGACAAGTATGTTTACCTTGGATAAATAGTCCGACTAGGCAAGTCCAACTTACTAGGTAGGTAAGACCGAGAGGTTAATCGACGGATTCTATGCTGGGCAGCGTTCGGGAAATTATGGCACATCTTCTCATCAGGCATACCTCAAAACTTGAATATGACCTATGGAACTGAGACGTGGTCCTTCACAGGTCAGCTCATCGAGCTATGGAGAGGGCTATGCTCGGGATTTCTCTGCGTGATAAACTTAGAAGCAGCTGCCGAGTAACAAATTTATTAATTTTATTGAAATTGGCAAGTACTCGTAATGTTCCGTATATTCCATAGTTAAAATTGTAATTTATATTTTATATATTTTGCGTTCAATCAGTCGCCAGTCTTTTTGTCACTTAGCGAGGAATATTAATTGATTGAGATTTGCATTCAAAAAATTGTAACAACCTTTTTTTAACAATTTTAAATATATTAAATTTATGTTATGAAATATAAATATTGGCGCGTCTGTTAGTGTTAGTATAATTGCTCAAAAACTTGACAAACTATGTTTATATTCAAACAATATAATAATTATTTTGACGAGAAGATAGTTTATAGTTTTCTTAGGATCCTGGTGCTGTGTGTGTAAGTTATTAACACAAAATTTCAACATTATTTATGTACTAAAATTATTCATATTGGCAATATATATTGGTTTAGGGACATAAAGGAAAATTTGGAACTGATAAGTGGTGCGAGTTATTAATCGTTTAATATCAGGCATTTTTATAGTACCTATAAAAATAAAATATCTGGAAAAAGTTAGTAGTAAATTCAGAGTGAAACTCGGTGCCTAACCTCTGAGGCCAGAGTAACGTCTGCCGAGCCAGATAATTATTATAAATAATGAATACTTTACAAGTCTCACAGACTTGTAATGGTAAGCAGTATTATATTGGCTCTGTACGTTGAGCGTGGTGAGTATGAACAATTATTTAAAAAAAAAGGTAAGATGTTGTTTTAAAAAAAAATATGTTTGTGTGTGGACGAAAAGGGCTGACAATGCATTTACATACATGCATACAACATAAATTCTTACGATTTTCATCCACAGGAAAATAGTCAAAAATTATGTGGACATCCATTTAGCACGATCCTGATATATCTTGTTGATTACCAGTGTGAAAAAGCAGCTTAAAGCAGCTGTATTTCTTATGGCGAATGTAGAGAACCGGATACCCTATTTACTGGAAACGGGGCATTTTATCTTAGTCTTCAGGTCTTAAGAGGCAATCTGTGGGGATGCCTATGTTCAGCAATGGATTTTGAAAGGCTGTAATGAATGAATGAATGAATATTTCTTTATGACCCTATTTCTATAGTATTAGTTTTAATCGTATCCTTCTTCTGCCACATCCAATTTCCATTACTATGCATTAAGTAATGTACAAACATAGGATTGTGTTTTTCCCTACCTTCTTTGTCATAGCTTTCTACAATAGAATGATGGGCCCCATTTACTCTGTGTTCTCAATTAACTCTTCGTGCTATATCCTTGTCATGCCTAAAATCCTTAATAATTTTTTAAATTTACCTGATTACTGCATATGGAATAAAATAAACCATTCCTGCTAAACTCTTATCATTATATGCAATAACCTATGTATGTTTTAAAGTTCATTTGTAGGTAAAATTAACGTGATTTGTATTTTTTATATTTCATATTGTGTTAATGTTAAGCAATTAATGCGTAAATGTGATTCCATCAAGAGTCGCTTAACTAATCATATGAAAAATACATCCACATCTAAGACATCCCAAGCTGGTAAAGAAAAAGAAACGAATAGCACAATAAGATAAAATATAAAAATGTGTGTAGTGGTGTAGTATCTGTTTTTAGAACCAACACATTTTTCCTTATGGGAAGTGATACGGAGAGCATATAAATAAACTTAGGCCAGGGCACTATTTTGGCTTAGTAGTCCTGTACATTTTAAGACCACTGATTAAACCATTGTGCGTTTAGCCTATACCGGAAAATTGCCATTATTACAAAACTAGTTTAGTATTCTATTCATATACGAGTATTTATACACTATGTTAAGACACAATTCAATTAAATTGTCATATTATTTTGGAGTATATTTAGGCGGTTATACGGTATGGATGGTGGACACGGACACGGTGTAGTAGTATATACAGATGTTTAGAAGTCAGGCTGAGTTGGTGCTACCACTTTATCCACTTCTGCTGCCAAAACATCGCAGTGGATGTCGTTTCATAGTAGTCTTGCAGAGTCGAATTTATGGCCTTTTTTGGGTTGCCGTGGAATATAGTAACCACTTACCATCGGGTGAACTGTCAAAATCTAAAAAAAAATTGAAATTGTAACAATCTACAGTCTTATTCCGCCGTCTAAATCCACGGTTCGTTTTGTTGGTTTTGAATTGTTCATAATTTTTTTCCACATTAAAGATTTTTTTCTACATAAAATACAAGTGGAATAATCGCAAACGCCCTGCTATTCATTCCAGTACCTTCCGAATTAGTCACCAGTTACCCGGTTAAAATTTACTCATATAAGGACGTAAGAGACTGAGGAGACCTTGACCATATTGCATAAGCTATAAGCAGTGTGTGGCATAAGTAGTGTCACAACAAATCTATTACTACGTATATAGGTCCACTGCTGAACATAGGCCTGCCTCATAGATTGCCTCATAGGGGGACTGCAGTTTTTTTTATAATTTTAAATCAGGATGATGCGACATTTTCTATTTCAGTTTCCTTATGTTGCCGCTTACGACAGACAACTACGGGACGATATGAGGTGGTGGATTTTCTTACACCGCCGCTACTTGCTAAGTGACAAGACATAAAAATCTGAAAATAAACAATTGGCGTTTTGGCACTTTTGCTTTAGCTGGCTTTCAAACAAAGAACTCAGATCACAAGATCATGCGGTCGTCAACCACCAATAATACCGTAAATGATTAAGCTTGTATTTAATTATTGCTTTTACTAAGAATACCTTTTTCAACTCCGTATCGGCAAGATCATATGTTAATTCTGAGCTTCTTCTACCATCTCGATTTGATAGGCACTCGGAGCATACTAATAGAGGTAGGTTAAGCTGTTCTAATTCCCGCTCAGTAGACGCCTTTTCTTCCTTCAAGGCATTCATTTCTCTATCCAGACGATTCAAAAGTTCTTGGAGCGTTGACTTCCATTGTTCGATCTCATACACTCTGCCAACATTAAAATAATTAAATATTACGTAACTTTAATATCATCCTTTTGTATCATTTTGGCACGCACAACAAAGAATTGAGATTTCGGCGACTGTCTTTCCAGATATAACATTGGCTCCATTAAGATTATAAGTTTAATATCTTAAGTTATTTTTGCATTTATTATTATTACGTAGAGCTACTGTTCCATTGGGTTCGCAAAAGACGACTATGAGAAACGCAATAACGAAAATATGCCCTCCGATACATAACGCTATAACCATCTCGTATCATCACCAATATTACCTGGCTCTCAGACGATTATTGTTGTGGTAACTGTCCCATTCGGTCTTGATTCTTGTTTCATTACGGAGTTGTCGTGCGCTATGACGCAGATCAAATGCATCTGCTCTCCTGGTATCAGCTGTTACCTGTACGAAAATTATTAAAACAGATATTACACAGACAGTACATAAATATTATGAAATTGGTCTATACATGAACACAGTGTGTATGTGAAATATGATAACCTCGCTCTCGTGACTTAATTTCTTATATTTACGTTTAAATTAAATAATTAAAGTAATAGTATTAACTTTAAGGGATATAGTTGTAATTTGGCACAAACATAACTAGTATTAAGCACACAACATGAATACCAATGGGTTCATTTTAACTTTTTGAATTAAAACAATGTTTTGTTTGTAATATAATTTAACTAATATAAAATTATAGTTAGTGTTGCCATGTAGCTTTTATAGTTCTAGGAATGTGATGCTCAATGACAGCCTCGTTGTTCTAGTGGTAGTAAGCGCAACTGTCGATCGTGTGGTCCCAGGTTCTAGACACGGATCGGGTCAAAGCCAGTAATTAGGATTTAATGTCGAAAAGTTTTCAGTAGCAGCTCGTAGTCAGAAGATAGCGGTGTTGCCCTGCATCGGAAAGTACGTAAAGTCGTTGGTCCTGCACCTGATCTCTTTCCGGTCGTCCCAACGGATTATGATATTGAGGGAATGGAAAGTGCACCTTAGAGTTTACATAAACAAGCTATAGAGAGCGCGTTAGCGGAGTATGCACAGTAACCACGGGTATTAGTCACGAAACGACATGTGCGTTGATTGTTTTTCTCGACGGTATTTACTTGAATTTCAAGTTGCTACGGTCGAATGTGCAGTAAAAAGCTGTAAAAACCCTTCATAAAAGCAAACTTAGAATAATAATGATATTATTATTCATCTGTAAGTAAAATTTTGATAAGAAAATACAGATTTTAGCTAAATTAATCAGGGTGTAAAAAATATTGCAGGAGGCGTGCGAACGGGTTGACTCGGCACGTGCTTTCTCGCGCCCCCCCCCCCTCCCCCTTTTGGCTTTCCTCAAATTAAAGCTAGTGCTGCTAAGTTGTACACGAATATTTTGTAATAACATGATTTATTTCGAAATAATAAATATAGTATTAAAAATTAAGATTCTTTGTATTTCTAACCCATATAGATCAATGTCTAAAATAAAACTTTTGAATAAGTTTGTAATATATGTACACATATATAATAAAGATAAGTACAGTTAAATACATAACCAATGTCAGATTTCCAAAAAGCCGGGAATTAGAAAATAAATGGGTGATAGCAATAAAAATGCGCAATTGTGAGCCCAACACCAGAAGTTTCGTTTGTTTGTTGTGGACTGCGCAAGCTGTGCAATACTTGAGCTATAATTTGAAGAAACTACTTTTACGCATTCTATCGCGTGTAATTAACTTATTTTGATTAAATTCCCGACGTTTCGGGTGAAATGGTTCAATATTTCAAATACAATATAGGAACTTACATGGTTCTATTACAGTGAATAGAAACCTTCCACCATGGCTTATTAATTTTCTTTTTATTGGAAATATGTAAAAAATTATAATAAAAATAGCAAAGGCAAAACACAGCAACAGTTTCTTCTACGTCCATCGCAGTGGACATCCGGAGTTCAAGTGATACGAGTGTACACATGGTGTGCTCTCGTGTAGAACCTGTACGCGAGGCGATGAGATGAGCGTGTACAGCCGCCATAAGGCTTACTAAATACTTACCTTGAACTAATAATTTAAGTATATTAACGTATAAGCAAAACGCCTAACGCCAATCATGGCGAATCACTACTCCACCGCTCCATCAAGTATCAATATCTAGAGAACATCTACTTACGCTTGGCATAATTAGCAATGGTCAATACGCGCACATAGCTTGCTTATATAAAATCTAAGGAGTACACCTAAGTATACATACGAGTGTGTATTAATATATTCTGGTGAGATGACACATACATAATATGCTAACATAATCGCCTCTCGCAATCGCGTTTTTGAAAACAGGTCTATCGATTTCGATGAAATTTACAATGTGGTGGTGTACGAGGGCGGAAAATCTATCTCGCTAAGTCTACTTTCTGAGAAAATTCGTCTTCTCCATTTTATTCACGCTCAAAGTAACAAGGTTGACTTTCTAACAAGCTCCAATTTCTACATACAAGTTACCTTCTTAATAGCTTAATGGCTAGAGTGGTCTACTATGCCGGAGTACGCGAGTTCGAATCTTGCAATCTGGTAAGGATTTTTTAATTTTTCCTTTTTAGTATTCTAGAACATGGCCCCACAGTTTGGTGAAATTATTATAGACACATAAAATGTTTTGTTTGCGGAGCCACGTACATATTTATGGCGCTATGCTTTCTTTTTAATTGTGGGGTCAAAACTTGCATACATGCGTGACCACCGAGCAATTAGTCCAATTGATGGTGAGTGGATGACATGTATATGTCACATATACATGTCGTTCGTTCATATATCCTCGATTAAAAAACAAAATGCAGATGTGTTTTCGCCCATAGGGACTAAGATGGAATGCCTAATTTCCAGTAAAAAAGGTCTCATATATAATATTCTTTCGTTCAAAATCGACGACGAGTCTATAAGCACTGTACTGATTTTCACTATACTGATTTTCTTCATATTGCACTCTTATAAAACGTATTCTTTACACAGGAGTACTATGGGTTGTTGCCACAACAAAAATAAAAAATAATTATTACGCAGGTTTCTTCCTGAATCCTATACACGTGTTTTACTGTGTACTAGCATTTTAAAATCGCTTAGGCGTAGGCAGTCTTCTATATCCTTTTTTAATATAAAATAACTAACATTATTTATATTTTATTACAAACCAAACCAAACCATCTCTTCAATAAATAAAAATGGAATGGCGTATCTTTAAACAAGAATTGTGAACTACAAAATTATACAAGATAAAAACTATTAGATTGGAAATATTATTAAACTTTGTGAAATATACGCAGACAATCGGTAATAATGCAGAATGAATGCCAACAAAATCGTTTAACTTTAAAAACTCAAAGGAAATTTATATTGACAAAGAAAGTAGATACGGGTTTCATTTTATTAAAGATGACCTCATTTATCATTTTTTATGATTGAATTTAGTGAAATGTTGATATAAAGAAATGTAGCGGAAGATACTCTACTTCTAAATTAGTTATATAACAATTTATATAAAAATGGGACTTTGGCTTGGAACTGACAAACTGCTGTGTATTGTGTAATACATTAGATGTCCGAAGTTACTTAAGAACCATAATGACCGTTCTAACCAAGTTCCAAAAACGCGAAGGTTCTATATTAGCCGCAAATGGTTTCTTTTATGTGTCTACCGACTTCGTGAGTTTCTGATTTCTGATTTACCGAAAACGGCCGAACCGACTTTAATGATTCTTCTTTTATTAAATAGGTTATACCTTAGAGGTTATACCATATAAGTTTTAAGAAAAAACTCCTTAAGGTCAAAAAATAGGGGAAAGTTTTTAATGTAACTATTTGAACCACAATCAAGATTTTAGATCGAACTTATGATATTCTTCAGTTAAAAGTAAAATAAAACTGACTTCAAAGACAAAAACGATTAAAAAAAACTCTCATAATATCTTCCGAAGTCGGTGCTAAGGTATACTGTATCGAAAAATCAAAGCCGACTTCTGAATTTATTATGTGGAAAAACTATAGATGCATTTTCACTACTAAGATGGAATGTCTTATAGTTATAATTACACTGTTTCTTTAGTTCTCTCTTATTATCAAGTGGAATGTGTGCTCGTTTGTCACACTTCCTTTTACAAAAAAAAAAACAATGATAATAAAAACGCAATTGAAAATACGTGTAAAATAAGTTTCTTCTGTAGGTGGTCTACAGTTCGTCTGACATCAAGTCTGTCATCAATGGTTTCTATGTTTAGTGGCTCATGAACTTCCATATGCATTTTAAAATGCTCACGAATCAATATATACCGATATGTTTTTGTTTTTAAATAATATTATTCAGGAACAATTTGTACGAATTCTGTTAAATCACGATTCATGTTTAAAATTAATTTTATTTATTTAATTATTTTAAATTTGAATATCATTCATTTTTAACGAATCTTTGTGACTAAAAAAATTAGAGTACTAGTTTGGGTATCATTGTTTTAAATCTTAAGCGGACATCTGTGCAGTTTAATGTAAATAGCCATTTTCACTGGTTTTGATCACCGACATAACCAAATACTCAGATTTTAAACCAGTGTGAGGAAGAGAAAGCTTTTCGGAACAAATATTTTCATGTTAGTTCAAAATAGTAAAAGTCCTAGTAAAATCGCCAAACATCAATTCACTTCAATATTCCGTACGACCGGTTTTATTTGAATTTGCATTTCAAAGGCGTTATTCTACCCTTACTAAGTGCTACGCGGAATAACGTAACCTTTAAATATCACTATAGTTATGGCATGAATATATACATTTCAATGGAACAATTCAGGATTCTTAAAGAATTTAAAATGAAATAAAACTACATATGCATACATACTCTTTCACTATAATCCTGTTCTGGACAGATGGCTATTCCCCGTTGAGATTACCCACCGCTACCTCTTAGCTACCAAGGGCCGTGGTAGCTCAGATGGTTAGCGCTCGCTGTAAGTTTCACAGTACGCGAGCAACCCGGGTTTGATCCCCGCTGGCACCAATGGTATTGTTGCAATTTTAATTGCTGATTTACCACGTGCTCGGCGGTGAAGGAAAACATCGTGAGGAAACCTACATGTCTGAGAAATAGGAAAAAATATTTCAAAGACATGTGAAGTTCGCCAACAAAAGTTCGATTTTGGTGCAGCGCGGCGGACATTTTCTTGCCCTAAAACCTCTCAGAAATGAGAGTAGGCATGTGCCCATCAGTGGGATGTATATAGGCTTTAACTTTTAACTTTATGCATACATGATCGACCTGGTAAGAACCACGCTCTGACATAATACCAGCGTAAATAGCAGATTAATGCTGCTGTGCAACCTATTTAACACATCTCTCCATATCTAAAAAATAAATTAAGAATTATTTTAGGTAAAGTTTGCAAGTGAATTGCATTTATGGATTCCTATATACTTTTTTTCCTGTTAATGTTTTGCAGTCTGGTAACTTTCTTTTAAACTATCTTTAATTTACTGGCACTGTCGGTCTGTTTATAACAGACATAGTGTGTATTTTTTCATTTATATACGATTGTTTATTGCCAAAAAAAATAAAGCAAGAATAATATATTATAATATATTAATTGTATTATACAATGAAGCAATGATTAAAGAGTAGGACCGGCCAAATATGCTTCTGTTTTCACGTGAAATTGTATTGTTAGAGAAATTAAATAAAGACATAATATTACAAAAAATTTCACAATTTTTTATATTCTTTTTCTTCATCGTCATCTTCATAAGTCGGTCGGTAAAGTACGGTCTATAGCCAAATGCATTAAACGATTACCTGCGGGAGACCATTTTACTGGAAAAGAGGCATTCCGTTTTAGTCCTCACGGGCGATAGCGCATCTGTATTTTGATTTTTTATTGAGGATAGATGTAAATGTCTATGGGTCATAGCAACTACTTAACATCAGGTGGACCGTGTGCTAATTTTTCATCACATCCTATAAAAAAAAAAAACTAGCCTCGCAGAAATATATAATTATAATACCTATAAAATTAGAAGCGTGGTAGATCGAGGGATAAGCGCTCTTCCTAAATGTTCATATTTTGTGAACAAACTGTGTTCGATCACCGCTGAATACAATGAAAAAGTTTATTGCAATTATAAGTTCTAATTTACGACGTGAATGACGGTAAAAAAATTATTAGGGTAAAACAAGTATATTTGAAAAATAAAAATAAAAACTCCTAGGACATGTCAAGTCCGATACATGCGTTTGAGCAACGATAAGTATCCTAAAGAATTCCGCTTCACCATATTAGCGTATTCTGGATGTCGTAAGAGGAGAAAAACAAACCAAAAAATGGGTAGCGGAGGCTTCTTGCTAGTACATAGAGAATAAAAAAACTTTTGCGACTAAAATATCCTCTCTTATCAAAATTTAAGTATAAAGTTCATATTTGTTTAATCATTTGTAAGTATGTAAAGAAAAAGATCACGGTAGACTATGCGCATATTTGTGTTTCTAAATTTCAAATATTCAGCAGATTTTCTGCGGTGAGTTTACCAAGCATTTTAAACGACTCGTGGGCGATACGCTAAACTTTTCTAATTTTCCCGTGTAACTAAGCTGTTTTTGAGGGCTTCATTTAATTAAGTTAAATATCAGATAATATTTAAGGCTCACCGCTTTATAGAAACGATTATGCTTTGGTGAAATATACAAAAATACTAATGATATACAATTTTAGAATAAATAGCTTACTAAGTTTGATGTCCAAACATGAAATATACTAAAAATAAATTTTAAGTGAAAATTACAATTAAATTTTGTTGTAAAAACATCGGTGTAGTAAAATGATAAAATAACAGCTATGATTATTCAAAGGCAAACGATTTTTTCAGTTGTGCGTGTGTACCTACGGCTTTCATAGGACGTGAGCAAACCGAGTTTGATTCCCTTCGGCACCAGCGAAATTACAAATTGCAGTTTTAAGAGCTCATTTACCACATGCTCGACGGCAAATAACAATATTGTGAAGAAAGCTGCATTTCTAAGGAATTAAAACTAAATGTAAAGACCGTGAAATTGAATTTGGGTATCGTGGTAGATACTTTCCTCCTCCAAACTCGTCTTCGTGATGAGACCTCTCTGTGTCCTGCTGAGGGGCGTATGTGTAGAATATTACTTTACTTTATTCTGCTTACTCAGTCGAAGTTTTATAAACATTTACGTAATCAAAATTATAATAATGTTACCTGTAGTCCGTATAATCGAGCATCCCAATCTGGTAAACTTAAATGCGGCAAAGGCTTTTCATATGTAACCACGGACTGCATTATTAAAAAATAATTTGATTCTAACCGAACATATATTAATAACACGAATTGTAATCATGTAAATATAAAATACTCAAATAATACAAATACTACTATATTTGTTGACAAGATAGTTTATTTCGAATTTCGAAAAAAAAATTATCTGTCAATTAAAATGGGAACTAAAAAGTTCCTTTAATACTGAAATATGTTACTCGCTAATTTTATCATAAAATAATAGTGATCTTGATATGAGTGTTCATTATCATTTAATATTATAATGTAATAAAAATAAAGAATCATTTCGCATTTGCGTCAAAGGCTTTAAAAGTGGTGCAATTATATGTATTTAAAATTGTTTCTGATATCTGATATTTCATATAGTTTAATTAGAAGTGAATTTCTTAAATGTGGTTGTGGTGTATGGAAGAGTAGTGTTGGGTTTAGTAGTTGACTTTCCTTTTGGTAGTAGCCATAGAAATAGTATACTGTAGATTGGCGATGGAGTGATGAGGGCGAGACCAAAATCAAAATACACAGGTGTGCGTGTAATATGCATGTGTGGGTGACAAATAGTCCTGCACTTGACTCAACTTCAATCTTCATCGATACCGATTGCAGCGTATTTGTGTCTTCTGATTTGACTCAGATGATGTAAGTGAATATTTTTACGCCAAATTTTGAAGCCAAAAGGATGGTTACAATTTTAGAAAGCTATGTATGTATGTATGTATATTCGTCTGTCTTAAATCTTCTAAGCTACTCATCTTATATTGATGAATAATATATCTAGATGAATAATACAGTCTTGTTTCGCGGGTTTCAAGCTGCATGAAGTCACAAAAAAAATAATATGACGGCTTATTGCAGATATATAATGAAACATTGAAATACATACAATATTAAAAAATATATATGAGAAAAATTAAAACAAAAATAAACTTAAATTATCATACAGTGCTACTCCCTGTGGTATTATGCCATGAACGCGGGCTGCGTTTCCTCACTGAATGGCTATACTTATTAAATAAATATTGAAATATCGTGTCTCGTATCCACTAAAAGGTGTAATTCAGAATATTCTCGACTTTTAGAAAATATATGTTATAAAAATGTTAACTATATTAGTTTTTATAAGTTCTTATTTTATAAAACTGAAGTAACCAATGAACTTAAAGTCCACCTGACGATGATAAGTGGCTACTTCAGCCCATAGAAACTCGCAGCTAACTTTAAACAAAGCAGGCCTTGTCACCTTTACGGAATGGGATGGAATGCCTTACAGCCTTTATTTATACCGGTACTAGGTAATAGAGATGTTACGGAGGTTCGATTCAGATTCCGAAAGTTCGGAACATCCGATTGATTTTGCACCTTCGATTCCTTTGTTCGGTTCCGTAAAATTTTAATCGGAAGTTATATATCAGAGGTCGATGCACAGGGGCGGCAGCGGCTGCGACCAGCGCCTAGAAACAAGTTTATACTTGTCGCCCCGGTAACCCCCTCCCCCAGTACCTTCTGTCGATTACTCTTTAAGTTAAAGTTTCATTAAGTTAATGTTTTGTTTCACAAAAAAATCGAGATTTTAAAGATCGATTTCTAAAAAAATTAATCTTTTTTCAAGTTTGCATTTATAATGTAAATATAAATCCGTTTTATGAAAAACAAGAAAGATACCATAATAAACGATCTTTTATCAGTAAAATCGATTCACTGGATCGATTCAGTACTGCATATCGATATTAAAATCGATCTTTGGACCTGAAAAATCGGTTCTTCGATTAATCGATCTCAGATCGCCATCCCTATTTGGCAATTGGCATGTTGTGCTTTCGCACTTCATTTATACTTATCCAAGTTTTTGATTAGTTGTTTTATTTGATGTGTAACAAATTTATTTGAATGGGACAACGAAGCCAAAATCAAGTGCCAATTGGGTTAAGTTTCTAGGAATACAGCAAAGTGTAAATTATGTGAGAAGATATATTCACGAAAGGGAGGCACGACTACTTCGTTAAAAGGTCATTTAAAGTCTGTGCATGCCACTGAATTCGAAGAATTCAAAAAAAATTGAAACTGAAAAGAAAAACACAGTGTAATAGATCTAATATAAAATAGATAGACCTGCCCTTAATACATCTCTTCTGCCTCCACTTACGATCCCGGTTCCGATTTCGGTCCCGGTTCCAACAAACAAAATTTAAAAACTACGCTTCCGAACTCGGTTCCGATATAACCACTTCCGTAACATCCCTACTAGGTAAGAGGGTGATACATATCCAGACGACTTCCCAGACAGAAATGAGGTCCTAGTAGGACCTCATTCTGTCTGTCTCATTCTTATTTAGTTCATAGGTATAAGCTTCAAAAATTGTTAATATAAATTCAGTGAAAGAAACTTCGCTTCAAAAATGGCGTGGCTGGTATGATGTGTATATAAATTAAATATTAATAAATTAAAACCCAATTGCGACAGGAAACTTTTACTAAATAGTTTTTTTAATGCTAGTCGTTATTAAGAAGCCGCTACTGCCCATCTCCTGATTTGTTTCCCTTTGTCGCCACTTACGACACTCATTGGATAATATTTAAAAAAAATTGAATATATTTAAAAAATATGGGGTAGTGGATATTCTTACGCCGCCACTACACGGTGAGCACCTTTATGAGAAAAACATTTTTCTTCAAAGTACTTGCTGCATATAGTCGAATATTTTCTTTTGGAAACCCATTCTTCTCTATTTATTATTTTCAACCATTTCTGTCGAAGATCAATATTTTGTGAAAATCTGCTACAGCATCTACTTAACATCAGTATGACTCTGTGCTTCTTTTAAAAAAAATTTTTTCTTACGATTAGAAGAATATTTAACTATGGAACTTTAAAAAAATACTAAGTTGAATAAGGCCGCATGCAAGGCGTACCTTTACATGTTAAGTACGTATCGATAAGATATTATCGATAATGTCAGAGAAAATGTGTTCTATGATGTCAATCTCTACAAAAGTGAGGTTACAATTAGCAGAATTTTATGTTTTTGTAAATATTTTGAATTCAATTGCTTTGCATTCAGATGATTATTATTATAAATTTTGCTAATTTTTCATATCCATTTAAGTACAAATTGCTTGTACCTGCTCTAAAACACAGCTAAACATTGTAATCGTACGTATGTGTTAAATGTATAATAATATACGGTTTCTTTCAGGTTTTTCTTAAAAAAAACGAAAAAAGAGGTAAGTAATATTTAAGTACTGCGCACTTAGTCATAATTATGTCTATAAAACACTAATTTTCTATTTTAAACCTGAGATTTAGCAAATACAAGCGGTAATTGTTTTCTTCACGAATGACGCCAGACTGTTATGTGCATGGTCTAGCCCAGGGGTCACCAAATGGCGGACCGCGGTCAGAATCCAGACCGCTGTCTTATTTTGTGTGGGATTGAAAAATCTAACAATATCAATGTAAAAATTTATTATTATAAAATTTTCTTCTGTTTTAAGACTGCGAAAGTTCTATACCTATAATTTAGGATAAAATTTGTGTTTACCGCACACTAATTTTATCCAAAATATTAAATACCCAGAACTAAAAAAATTGGAAACGTTGTACAATGTTTGGATCAACATATATTTGTGAAGTAGTGTTTTCCAAGATGAACTTCAGTCATTCATTAAATTTCGATCTCGTCTTACCGATTATCATCTCCAATATTTAATGGCAATAACTTTTCAATTTCATTTCAGATTTAATTTCAGACTTCACGCAAATTTTTCAGATTAAATAATGTCATTTGTAAAGTATATTTGAACATTGGGTACTTATATTTTAATTAAATGTATCATGAATAAAAAAATCTGATTTTTTTTATTTTATTTGTTAATTGACATTTTAAATATCGGTCGCTAACTATCATTTTGAAAGCGGACCGCGACAGATTATTTTTTTTAAACGGACCCGCAATTGAACTAATTAGTAATGCAGGTCTAGCCTATCTTCCTCGCCCTAACGTACGCGTAGATTATGCGTGCTCTTTCTTTTTTGCATTACCAATCTATTCCAACGTCAGTTAATACTAAATCTATAGTAGTGCACGCAGTTTTGGAAGTGAGGCAGGTAGGGTTTTTCAAAGTAGGCAATATTACTAAATAATTTTTTCATCTTTAACAAACTGGAAATTCGTTTTGTCATTCCTTTTTCTATAGTAAATTATCAGAAAATGTTAGACCAATATCTACATTGGGAATATAGAAAGTCGTAGAAGTCATGCAGAGTTCACAAATTGAACCCGAAATGTTCGAAGGACAGAATGTTTATACATAATTTTCTTGAATCATGTATCTATGAATCTTACTGGTCCAATGGGCTATATGGGTTACTCCTCAATTCAAGGTCTATAACGCAGAGGAAATCAGAAAATAACTGTCTCCATAGCTCACTGAGCGACCTTGAATTTCCTCATATGGCCAGCGGTGAAGAACCATATCTCAAATATATATGCTATCCATCAGTAATGCCAGGAATTCGATGTACTCAGACGGCTCAGGACCGTGCACTGTGGCATTCCTCGAGGTAGGCCTATGTTCAGCAGAAAACTTGCTAAGGGATACTGATGATGATGATGATAATGATGATGTATCTTGTAGTATGTATATGATATATCAGCAGTTGGGCAGCAGAATCTTTATGATAACAACATAAAATAATAAAAATTTCGGTTGCCAACCCAACAAGGCAATCTATGTGGGTGCAGCAGTGGACTTTTATTACTGTTACGGATGGATGGGTAATTAATTGTTAACGAAGACGAGATTTTATGCACATTTTCATTACTCCTTGTGTCTATATTTAAAACAATCGTTTATCATTACGATGTATATTATGTATAAGAAGTGAATTTAAAAAACGATTTTTACAATAAACTTTTCAATTAGACAAAACGATTTAAGACATAATAATTTTAGAACAACCTGTATTCAATTTATGGTTGTTACATGAACTTGTACACTGTAAAACG